ATTGCATTTAGAGCATATATCCAGGCATCTGCACAGAGAGGATGGGGTAAAGGAACTCTGATTTTGACTTGTTCTAAAATAGTGTCTTGGCCAACACTGATTTTATGTTATTGCTGTTGGGATAGAAAAGGAGAATTTCAATTATTTGTAACAGTGAGCCTTTACCATGGGACTGCATCCCTCATATTAAATTCAATCATACAATAATAGACTAATAATACAAGCCGCTATTATTATCCTTTGCTCCTAACTCACAACAGATTCAATGTAGATTTGTTGAATTAAATTAACACTAATGACTCACATTTATATATTGATTTGCAGTTTTCAAAGGATTTTAATTCCCAGTTTAAATAGAAAGAATACCAGACTACCAGTATACTCTTACTCTTCTCTATTAGCACATGGAAAAAACAAGCTTTGAAAATAATTCTACTTTGGGAAACATTTACCTGGTTTGATTATAAAGAAATTTTTATTATCTTTGTCTTAGAACCTCTCCTAGGCTTTTCACTTCTCACTGACCATAATCAGTAGCAAAAAGGAATGTTCCCAACACTGCACATTTCTGTTTATTTTAACCTTTATAAATTTCCAAGTCATCCTCTCTGTGGCAGATGTTGCCAGCAGTCGGTGCATACACCTTTGGTCTATCACCTTTATGTCCCTAGTGAATCCTGACTGCTTGTACCTGCATCGCTTTGCCAAGGGCTGTGCGAAGGTAGGAAGTGCTGGAGTGTTAACATCCCCCGGGACCAGCCCTCAACCAATGACTGACAGGAGTTGCTGTATAAATATCCCAGCTTCCTGTGGTATTTATAAATATCACAGCCATCTTGTGTGGGATAACTCTGGCAGACATATTCTGCACTGTCTCCCAGATTCCCCAGTGGGATGAAATTCTAGCTGCTCCCTGTGGTAACTTGTTTGGTAATGCATTATTTATTGGCTGCCTTCCTTTCCATGTCTCATTCCCTCCTCTATCCTTGCTTCCTGGGATCACTTCCCAAATAAACTACTTGCACTCAAACCCTTGTCTCAGAGTCTGCTGGGGGAACCCAAACACAGACCTCCCCAAAGTACATTTCACTAGAAAGACCCTGGGATAGCTCATCACATCCAAGCTATTAAGTCACCTAACAAGGTGTGAAGCTGCTTGTTAATCCTTTGCTCAAACAATTTTCGAGTTTATCACCATCCACTGATTTCATTGCTCTCCTGGGGAGGTCGACTGCACTTGCCATCCTCATTCTGTTAATTATAAAATAAAATTATTAATTAAAAATAAAGAAGATAAATTTGGTTAGTAGTTTCGACGTTGTCATTCTTAACTCTACACAAGGTGAGAGAGACACCAAGGCCAGTAAAAAAACAGTCAGACTCAGGTTCTCTGCTGAGGCAGTAACAATGAGATATTTGGATGTCAATTTTCTCACCTATACCAAAGACAGAAAATTTTCACAGTCATGTGTAATTAGATATAATTTCTTTGTCAAATACTATATCATTTATCAAACACTATATAATTTCCAAGTGTTTGATAAATGTTGAAGACATGGAACTTCCTCTGGATGGAAGTGCAGTTTTGTATAAAACTTACGTTTTCTGTTCAATTCTTAGATATCTAGTTTAAGTTTAGTGTAGATGTTGTTGTCTCAACAATATCCCTGCCAAATGGCCACCAACCCTCCTTTTGAATGTTTGCAGGTGTGGAGAATTCATTACTTCCTCAGAGAGCTAATTCCTTTTATTAACCTGATTTTAATCATTAGACAGTTTTTCTTTTAACTGAAATAAAATCTTCCTCCTACAGTTGTCACCCATTGGTGGGAATTTTTTTGGTAGAATTTCCTGAACAAATTGAATGCCTCATCCCACATGGAAAATTTAAAATATTTGAAAACATATTTAATGTATGAGGTCTGACATTAACTTTGCTAACTTATTGCAACAAAGTTGCTAACCCCCTTTTTTTTATATCAGAGGGACTATTCATTAATAATTTGTACCAAATGGACAAACAATTAACCAAGTTTACTATTTGGTAGTGTTGAAGAGGCTGCATGAAAAAGTTAGACAACCTGAACTTTTCACCAACAATTCATAGCTCTTGCATCACAACAATGCACCAGGTTACGTGGCACTGGCTGTAAGAAAGTTTTTAGCCAGTAAACAAATAACTGTATTGTAATACCCTCCCTACTCACCTGATCCGGCCCCCAATGACTTCTTTTTTTCCCAAAGATAAAGGAAATATTCAAAGGAAGACATTTTGATGACATTCAGGACATCAAGGGTAATACAACGACAGCTCTGATGGCTATTCCAGAAAAAGAGTTCCAAAATTGCTTTGAAGGGTGGACTTGGCACTGGTGTCGGTGCATAGCTTTCCAAGGGGGGTACTTCGAAGGTGACCATAATAATATTCAGCAATGAGGTATGTAGCACTTTTTCTAGGATGAGTTCGCGAACTTAATTGTCAGACCTTGTATGTGCCTCTTAAATTGTCTTTTCCCCAGTTCTTTCAGATGTCCTTAACAGATTATGGTTTGGGGTCCCTCTACTACCCTTGACACTATCTGTCACTCTTTCTCTTAGAGGGAGATACCTATTGGAAGCAACCAAGCTGCTCAACAATTGGGTATTGGCAAGTTTAAATAAATTACAGCATGAGGCAATACTGTATAGCCCTTATAATCATATTTTGAAGACTATTGAATAATATAAAAATGTTCATGACATATCAAGTGGAAGGAGGGGTACTATATATGCAACAAGAGTAAAATTTCATTAAAAATATACTCATAGAAATGAAAGTTCAAAATATGTCAAAATATTAAGAATGGTGATACAGCTAGTTTTGAATCTGTTTTATGCTTTTTCAGATTTTCTACAGAGAACATGTATTTTTTAATTAGAAAAAAATGTTTTTGCAAAGAAATAAAGAAAAAATGAAAAAAACCCACAACATTTATAGAATCACAGAGTTCTTCAGGTATATTCTGATATTACAGATTTGAAGGGAGCTGGTACCTTTCAATTTGGATGTTTCACTTTCCAATTTCAGATTAGGGATTTTGATAGATGAATCAAACTGTCGATTAGCATTGTACCTGCATTTCTTCAGAGCCCCAGAGGATTTTTTCCCCACTTGAGTTACTATCTCTTTTAATCTGGTAATTGGCATTGGGAGCAGCCTGTCACGGAAAAACACCTGGGCTGGGCAGGGAGAAGGGAAGGATGCCCAGGTTAATCTCCATGTAAGTGCCCTTCACTGGGGCTAGACTGGCAGGAGGGAGACAAAGGGCTATCAGTTTGAAAGCCCGACTAGCAGCCACCTCACCTTGAAGTCCTAGAAGCTCAAGATGAAGCAACACTAATTTGTGAAAGTGGGGAGAGCCCTGTTGGCTGCTCTGTGAGGTACTGGGTCTTGGAGATGGCAGGAACCCTGTGTAGTTGCAGCTCAGTCTGGAAGGAAGATAAAAATGCCTGTGTGCAGGGGTCAGCCCTCTGAGGATGAACCTGCCAGCCCCTGCAGGCTATTATCCCTGCTATTTCTGTACGTAAGGAAAGTCCACTGGGTATCAGAGCCTTGGAGAAAAAGCAAAAGACACATTTCTCAGTCTCCCCTTTGGAGAACTCTGCAAGGCCCTGCAGTCATTAGGGAGGCAGAGAAAGGGAGGGCACTAGAAGAGGCAAGCAGGTTTCTGTGTGAGGCAGTCCCATTAAGGAAGCAACCGGGACAGCCAGGTAGACAGCTCTGCAGTGGAAAGGAGGACCCAGGAAGAAGAGAAGTGTTTCCTTAGACTCTGCAGAAGGCCCACTGAAGCAGAATCTTCAACTCATAGGTAGTTCTTTATTGTCTTATCTACAGGAGTGGATTCTCATCTCTTGGAATAGAGCTTTGGATTAATTTCTGTCATGTCTATCTGGGGGCACACTGGATTGTGCCAATGATTCATTTAACTTTTTTTAATTATTAAAAATAGATGCTCAGCCCAATATATACTCCTCTTAATTTTGCTTCTTGACGCCCAATGCACTAAACATGAGGGAAAATCTCAACTTTCTTCTTGCATTGTAGACACACAACTTCCAGGATGAATGACCCAGAATGTTGACCCAAAAACACTTTGGCTTGTTAACCACCTTTTCACTATTGAAGTCTGTGTTCTCCTAAATATGATCTCTCTAGGTACTAAAATAACATTTTTTATACATAGATCTGCAGGTTACAGAAGTATAGCTTTGCAATACTTTAGAAAATTTTAAGTGAACACACTAATGTTTGAATAGTATACTTCCTGAGGTTAAAATAGTGATTGCTTATGTTTAAAGGGTTTGTATGTTTTATAAGGGAAGTAGTGTGACTTGCTGTGTCAAAAGTCAGAGCATGTGGTTCTACTAGCCCAACAGTGTTCACCATGACTTTTTGTTAATATTTCTTACTTGTCAAGGGAAACTAAATGCTGTACATGTTGTTGTGAGGGACAGTTGGTGTTCAGCACTTGTAAGTGAAGAAATAATTTTAAAAATTATGTTCTTGCTTTCATACATCTCTGGTTGCAATGTGGATTGCTGCACTATTTGGCATTTTGCCATCAGTTTTAACCCAGCAAAAACCCAAATGGCTCATATTCAATTCAATATCCTTAGGTAGAGTTGATTTTAAACCTTGCCAAGGCTTTCTTCTTTGCCCCTCCCTGTACCTTTTTTCTTGGCATGCTGTTGTATCAGACCTCAAATTTCCTTCTTTTCTTCTCACAAAGCTACCAGCTTTTTCTGCTGCCAGGACCCATGCCTTGTCTGTCTCTGGCCTGAGCTGTGGCTCCAACAAGATGGACAGTTTCAGTGTGCATGCATGCATGTTTTACAGTGTGCATGTCCTATGTGCATGCATGTGTGTGTGTGTGCACATGTACATGTGTGTTCCTAATAATGAGGGATGCCAGAACATTTAAGTTGTATGTGTCTCCCCACACAGGTTGGCTTGTACTTACATAGTTTGAGGCCAGGTCCGGATGGAGATAGTCAATCCCTGTGAAAAGACAACAGCACAGGAATGAAAGGTTAATAATTGCTACTGTTCTCAGGAAAGCTGCTCAAGATAATGCTCTCCTTATGTGCTGCTACTTGGAGACTTGGATGGGGGTGAGCACCTGTGCCTGAGGCCCTACCCTTGCGTTTCCATTCTGAGTGAGCTGCACCCCCCAAGTGGAGAGACAGCTGCCACCAGATGGATCAGAGAAGTGAAGCCAGTTGAGCTTGGGGCCCCAGGATAATACTTTTGCCATAAATGTCAGCACTAAGGGGCTTAGTGGCTGCAAAATGGATGGCTCATTAGGGCAGTGATCTAAGAGAGATTTGTGGAAATCCTGACATTTCTGAAACATCAACTGCCATTCCTTCTGAAATGAAACTGGCCCTGGGGAGGAAAAGTAATTATTATTTAACAGGGCCTGGACAACAATGGATTAGAAGAGGTTTCTCTAGCATGGAAATAAAAAAGAACACAACTGGGCAAGAAAAGCGATTAGGCAAAGGGCAAATCATCTCCTGTGAGGTGTCCCTAGTGGGAGCTAATGCTTGTCTTTCCAGAACGTAGCTTCCCAGGAAACCCAAGATCTCGAGTCTCCTGGATGTGGACTACCTTGTGGCTCAATAGTCCACAAGGATGTGGACTACCTTGTGGCTCAATAGTTGTTCCAAAGGTTGAATTATGGTCCATGAACTGCTGGGTTCCATCAGACATATAGACCTCAAAAAGTACCCTGGAACATCAAGGGCAAATTGAAAAGCTCTCATCCAGGTCTGAGAGACATATAATTTTTGTAGTAGTTACATCTGAGCACCCAGCCCTCCAAGAAACCAGCCAGGTCTGCACCAGCTAGCATAATGGTTAAGAGTGTAGGTTTTGTAATCAAAGATCCAAGTTTGAATTCCAACCATGCTGCCAATTGGTTGCATGACTTCAGGCAAGGTGCTTGGCTTCTCTTTGCTTTCTTTTCAGTATAATGGGGGCAAGAACAGTGTGGTGTGCTTGTCCCAGTGGCGTTTAACAACTCTATTGGGTTGCAATATTTAAAAGCCAGAAGTATTATTAAATCTCTTTCTTAGCTGTCATCTTTCCTGCATGCATACTAAGGCCAGGTCACAGTTATTGCTTTGTCTTGCAAAAAAGAACTTGTATGAGGATATATTCAGTGAACCCGTGAACAACGTAGAGTTAGAGGCGCCAACTGCCTGGAAAGATTAAAATCCTCATATAACTTAAGTCAGCCCTCTGTATGCATAGATTTCCAACCACCAGTTGACCTTTGAACAGCCCGGACTTGAACTGCGCAGGTCAGTGGGAAAGCTCGTGTATAAGTGGATCCGTGCACTTCAAACCTGCGTTCTTCAAGGGTCACTATATCTCTAAAAAGAAATTCCCCTTTGTTTTATTCTGGTTGCGCATGTTGTTTCTGCTAAGTCCTTTCTGGATGGGGAGTCACTGTTTTACAGAACGTCTTTAACATTTAGCCACTGATTTTGCCACCTACAGCAATTACTGTTCTCGTGGCTGCTTTCTATAGCTCGGGAGAGTACAGCAGGTCACCTCCAGCCCACCATCCTCCTTCTCCTCCCACTCCCCTTGCAAAGACTGCGGGACAGGAGTCAGAAGATGTAAAGACTAACATTTTAAAAGTTTGCAGACTCTTGTTCTGGACCCCAATTCAGAGATGGTCCGTTTTGGCTGTGAGAGAAGCTGGGGATAAGCACAGTCTATGCCAACAGACCAAGTTCCATTTCAGGCTCAGATGCTGTAATATTTGTGTGGCTTTGGCCAAATGACATAATCTCTCAGTTTCCTCATTTTTGAAATGGGGATATTTACTTTGCAAAACAATTTTCAAAATTAGCGACAATTCATTGAAACTGTTTACTTGTAGTAACACTTGATAAATGATATTTCTAACATCATAATCTACCATATCTCTAGAGTTCTGTGGATAATGCAGAAGAGCATAACAGCTTTAAAAATTGACTTAGTTTTAGAATATTGGTTGGAATTAAATTGTTGTATATATTTGTTGAAATTGGTTAAATTCTGTGAACTCATTGTTAGGAAAAAATTTTTGTAACATACAGAAAAGTTAAAGAAGAGACACACACACACACACACATGCACACACAGAGAATCCTTTTTTTTTTAACAGGGAGTCAGGTTTTAAAACATGACTCCATGTTTTAATACTGAAAGTTGTTTAGGAGAGGAATTTTCTAAGTAGTAGTCCCTTCTTTCTGAAGGAAAAATATTGAAGCAAAGAGATAATTTGAGACCAGAAGGAAATTAGAATTAAAATAAGATAAATTTAGCCTAATTAAAATAAAAGATCTTTAATTAGGTTAAGGGGAGGGCTGTATTCAATTAGAACAGACATAGACTTTGGTCTGAGAAAGAGAAGATTATTTATAGAATTGTGAAGGATGACAGACACGATTCAGAAAAATAATAATGAACTAAAGCATTCAAATGATAACCTGGTAATTACATAGTACTTTAATATTTTTGTATATTTGATTATCTTTTGAAGGGGAATATACTGAATACATCTTCTAAATCAGCTATTTTTCAATTCTTATATTTGTACTGTAATCATTCTTATTTTCCATGCATTTTTATTTTCAGCAATGCTGACAGATACTATGTAGGTCCTGGCAAAACAGACAATTTGGACACAAAACCTGAGCTGTACAACTATCTATGGCTCACAATCTGCAGGGGGCATTGACACATCACGAGCCAATTGTAATGAATGTGGTGCGCAAATGACAAATAGTTGGTTATATTTTTGTTCATAAACCATTGGTATCCTGTCTTTAGTTTGGAGTCTAATCCACAATAGTTCAAATTTCCAGGAAGCTCTGACAGTTCTAGAGACCTCATGGAATTGGCAAGGAGCTCCATGAACATATTCCTAGTTAGAATGTTAAGGGTTTAGTTGAAATGTATTACATTTCAGGACCCTGGTCCTAAGCTCAGTTCCCTTCATTGTCCCAAGAAAGCTAGCTGCTTGTACCACCCCCACTGACTTATATGTTGATGAGGAGTAGACCTCAGTGCATGGACTGTATTTTTCAAAGGTGGTGGTTCAATATCTCCCATCCCATGTGGTTTTCTACAGTATGACAATGTCACCCTCCACCCCTCCCCAATTAGAGGTAGCTCTATTTTTGCCTCTTCAGTCTGAGTGGACTGTGACTGCTTCTAACAATAGAATATAGTAGAACAGCATTGTATAACATCAAGGATAAGTCAGAAAAGTCCAGGCATCTTCTACCTACTCCTTTTTTTTGGACAGTTGCTCACTCTAGAGGAAGCCAGCTGCCATGTAAGAAGCCCATGTATAGGCTCTCTGTTTGACAGCTGAACTCCAGTGGCAGCCAGCATCTACCACCAGCCTGAGAATGATGCATCTTGGATGTCCAGCTCAGTTGAGCCTTCAGATCACCACAGCCCAGCCAACATCTGACCTGAGCTGAATGTGAGACCTCAAGTGAGAACTGCCCAGGCAGGCTCTTCTTATGCCACAGAAATCATGAGCAAAATAGTTACTTCAAGCTGCTAAGTGTCAGAGTCATTTGCTACACAGCAATAAGAACTGGAACAGACATCCCACTGGAACTTCTGAGGCCTATGAAGCCCAAATTAGGAGAGAATATGGTACTTTTCTATGTGATGCAGAGCTCTAAATCTCTCGGAAGGGTGTGGGTGACTGTCTGGATCTCGACTTACATGGATAAGATCCCATTCACAAAGTTCCACCAGAAAAAGAGGGCCAAGGGGCAGGTTTCAAGCACTGAGGATGGTGGTTAGGATTTGTTGTGAGACTTTGGGCAGTTCCTTGCCTCCCTAAACCTCAGTTCCTTCATCTGCAAAATGCAAATAATAATAATAATACTAACATTAGAGAGTAATTGTGACAATGTTTCCAAAATACTAAATAGTGCCTAGTACATAGTGAGTACTTAATAAATGTTAGTTTCTATTGTTACTTCAGCTTGAAACTCTATCTGGCCCCACCTCACTGGTCTTCAATCTTACTTTCTTGGCTCCATCTGATATCGGTTAAAGGCCTTGACCATGCCATCCCTGACCGTTTTTGACCTTGAAAGCCAGTCACTTGCCCTGAATCATGCCTAGGCTGGGTAACTCCTGACCAACCCAAGTCTTGTTATGGTTACATTTCATTTTCCAGGTCAAATTCCCAACACTAAATAATTCCATTACAACAAAAGGAATGAATTGTCATCATTAAGTGGAGTGTTTGCTGACATCTCATTGCTTGGGATGTCAGAGTAGACCCTTAATAAATGTTTTCTGCACCTTCAGGCAATAGTTAATCCAGGAGGAACTCTCCTAGTGATGTGTACTATATGGAAATAGCATTAAGTTGCACCTGACTGAAGGCAGAAAATATTTATTGAGCATTAAGCAAGTCACTGGATCTACCAGAGGGAATAGCAGCTGAGTTTTGAGTTGGGCAATCAGAGAGGAGTGAAAAGCTATTAAAACTGGGCTATCAAAGCATAGGGAATATAGTCAATGATATCATAATTAGTTTGTATGGTGGCAGATGATTACTAGACTTATCATGGTGATCATTTTGTAAGGTATATAAATGTCAAATCACAGTTGTATACCTGAAACTAATATAATATTGTATGTCAAGTATACTTTAAAAAAATAAACTGGGCTGGCTGTTCACAAATTGAACTTTCCACATATAAATGATATAATATTTGCCATATAGGCCCAAATATAAAAAGCCAATGCTTATAAAATATTACATTATTTTGTTCTTAGTGGTCAGGGACAGCATCCGTGTCTTTAATCTTGTTTTGCAATGATATCTTGCTGAGAGAATATCTGGGAAATGATACCATGCCATCCACATGTCTAGGCAGTTAAGAGAGAAAATACAGCACTGATGCTCCCAGCCTCACCTTCACTACTTCCTATTTCTAGGTGTTGGGGCAGAGATGCCCAACTGAGAGGCATAGTAAGAGGCTGCTTAGCATCTGGACCTGTCCCCGTTGCACGGGAGGCCACTGTTGTCCCAAATGTGCTCATCTTATTCTTCAACAGTAGATTTAGAGAATTACTTGGCAGTCTTTCTTTTCTTCAGTTGTCATACTGAATAAGTACACGTTGAATGAAAGATTGCCACCAATTCTTTTCTCTCTCTGCACCAGGAGGCAGAATTTATTTCTCCTCCTCTGGAACCTGGCCTGAGACTGCTGATTCAACAGAAGTAGCAGAGTGATGCTTGTCCATTCCAGGTTCAGACTTTAAAGAGGCTGGCAGCTTCTGCTTCTTAGAATGCCTGTTCTTGGGAGCCTTGAGCCATCTGTAAGAAATCTAGCTACCTTGCTGAAGAGACCATGTGGAGTAAGGAGACTGGGACTGCATGGAATAGGAGGGAGCCCCGAGTTGAATCCAGTCCCAGTTGCCTTCTGACTCCAATTGCATTAAAACCCAGATAGACCAGCAGCAGAACAGACAGTCCAGCTCAGCCTGGTCAACCAAAGAACTGTGAGAGATAACAACATGGTGGTTGTTTAAAGCCACTCAGTTTGGGGGTGGTTTGTTCTGCAGTAGGAGGTGATCAAAATAATGGAGAAGTTAGGAATTTTAAATTGGGAGGCAGAGAGTTTGCTTTTTGGGGATCCCGAAGGCCACTGATCAGGAGAAGAAGTAACATCAAACAAATTCTTCCAAAGCTTTCTGAAGAACTTGGTCTCTTAAGCCAGGAAAGTGGAACAGAATCAGGAGTCACCCTCTGCTTTGCTATTTTTGGATGGGATGATGGACAGTCAGTCAAGGGGGCTACAGTTAGAGCCTCAAAGTGAGTATCACAGGGTTGTTGGAGGTTTCAAAAGAACGGTGTGACTGTCTGTTGTTACTGTAGTGGCACTTTTAGGGTGCTTTTCTAATACCTAGTAGGGGGATACCCAGTAGATACGGTGTTTAAAATGGTCATTACAATATATTCTGGCAGGCTTTCCCCAAACCTAGATGTATCTTTCTCCTAGGTGAGCTGGCCTTAGCCACTTTGGTTTCTAAACCAAAACATTAGGAAGAAAGAGACAGCTATAAGCTCCTGACATCTGTGCACACACACTCTTGTACAGAGGTCTGTTCTTGTGAAAGCCCTCAGCCACTGGAGAAAGCTTTTACATCCATTTCAAAACATCGAACACTTCAGAAAACAGCGAGGCATTGTTTTTATGTTGCTATTTAATGAGCCCACACAAAGACAGCAGCAATTTTAATCACCCTGGCTCCCCTTGTTTTCCCATCAATTCTGCTTCAAAGGCTTGCTTTAGAGAACATAGTGTTCTTTGAGGATCTTCAGAAGGGAAAGGCTCCATTGTTTCATCTCTGTATAGTCTTTATATGTAATTGGGCTATTATTGCACAGTGGAGTTTTACTGGAGGACCCAGACGGCTAATGAAGGGCGACAGTACATCCCCAGTGAGATGACTACAGGGCAGAGGTGCTCCAGAATTTTGGCAGAGCCACGGACATGTGGAGTTAGGAAAACACCAATTCATCCAACCCCTTGGTTTTCATATCACAAACTATAAAAAATAAAGTTCTGTTCAATCTTTATCTGGCATGCATTGGGATAGGATAACATATTATAGGGAGCATGTGTCATAAAATGTTATCAAAGTCTGCTTTACAAGGGTTCATTCTGAAAATAACAATAAAGCAAAAAAGTCTCTAAGTCCCAATCCTACTGCTAAAAGCTATTTCATGGATCTAGAGCTACATTGTGTAATAGAAATTTCTGTGATGATAAAAATGGAGTTGGCTTGAATTTCAGCAGTGGTCAGCCCCATGTGGGTATTGAGAGCTTGAAATGAAGCTAGGAATTGAATTTTTAATTTTATTTAGCTTTAATTAAAAATTTAAATGTAAATAGCCACACATGGCTAGTGGCTACTACATTGGACAGTGTGGGTCTAGAGAAATAGATGGTAAATATAAAGAGGTTCAGAAGATGTTTTAAGGTAAGGTATAAGCAGTGGCCTAATACAAAACTAAGGTTGAGTGACAGTCAGGTTTCATTTGTTTATTTTTAAAATTTTATTAATTCAATAAAGATTTGTTAAGGGCATTCTCAAATTTGAGGACCATGGATTTGGAGGAAGGGGAGGGCTTGGCCACAGTACAGATGGTCATCAGGCCCAGCATCAGCCTATTCTGCCTCCAAAACAGTGACTCTCTTATATTCTGAAGGCATGCAAAGACACACTTACTTCCAAATGATGTAAAGGCATTGAAATACTCACCATCATCCATAATTCCAATGGTAACACCTTTCCCTGTGTATCCCAGTTCCCAGGCTTCTGCCACATTCAAATCAAGGCCAGGAGTGCCATCAGCTTGCCCCGTATTGATCTGGTGTAGGAATTCCAAAGCAGAGAATCTTATTAGTTTGGTGTAGGAAAGCACCTGTGTAAAATGTTTGCTTGACATGCTTTGCAGTCATCCAATATTCCAGGGCCAGCTCAAAGGTGACATCTTCCATGAACTGGTGCTTTTGGGTGTTCCCCCACCCATTCTTCTGGCTTTCTCCTTCCATTTTTTTAATCTACACAATTGATGTTTTACTTTTTACATAAGTATGCAAATACAGTTTCAATCCTCCCATCTTTTATGACCAAATTGCTATCTTTAAACTCCTAAGAGCTGCCATTGCAAGAAACCCTTCCCAATTTAGAACTGAACGCTCACTTTTGTAGTTCTTTATTTATACCTCATGTTTTAAATTTAGCACACATTGCTTTGGATTATTCTTATCTGAATATGATTTTCTTCCTTACTAAATACAATATCCTTTGCAAGAGGGAAATGTCTTATTTACCTTTGTGATTTCAGCACTACCACACCAATCTTGCTTAAAAATATTTGTTGAACTGAATTAAAGATAGCTGGTTCACCTTTAGTGCATATTCTAATGCAAAAAATATATAAATATAAAAAATAAATCCTCTACCTTAAAAAAATCAAAAGAAGAAATAAAGGAAAACCAAGAAAAATTCCAAATAAATATGCTCACTACTCTTTTTTCATGCATCTTTGTCCTGTGCAGATTTTCTTAAAGATGAATAGTGATATCAGAGTTTGTACTGGCAGAAGCCCATAGTGACCAATTGGTTTTTATGGTATTGCTAAAACATTATGTGAATGTCATTAGTGCACTTTATAAAAATGGTCACTCTTTTCCTTCCAGGCATATGTTAAGATTACACCTCTCCATTCCCTTTGAAGTGAGAATGACCACATGGCTGGTTTTGGCCAATGAAATGTGAGCTCATGTGTCGTTTGTTACATCCAGTCAGAAGCTTTAAGAGCCAGTGTGCAATTTGCCTCTTCCCTTTCTTAAGGAACTCATAAATGTAGGGATCAAAATGGAGCAGAGATGGAGTTTGAGCAGCCTGAGCCCTTGAGGGATTATGAAGCATTGGATGTATAGGAATAGGGAAAACTTTTATTTCATTAAGCCACTGTGATTTGGGGGTTGTTATTGCAAGATATGTAGCCTATCCTGACAAATACAGTAATTTCTCTGTATCTGAGGAGAATTGGTTCCAGAACCCCTGTGGATCCCAAAATCCATGGTTGCTCAAATCCCTCATATAAAATGGTGTAATGTTTGTATATAACCTATATTTTGCATATAGGCTAATGCAGGGTATGTCTACACATCACTTCATTTTCATGGATTCAGTATAGTGCCCTGCATGTGAAAAATTCAAGTTTTGCCTTTTGGAAATTCTGAGAATTTGTTTTGAATATTTTCAACCTTTAAGTGGTTGAATCTGTGGATGCAGGACGTGGGGATTCGTAGGACTGACTGTACACACAAGTTCATGTGGTCACCCAGATGGGATTTTCAGAATTCCATGCCAAAAAGCACAAGGCATACTCAAGCTCTGAAGCTCCAAGAGGGGGCTTGTGATGCAATTCTAGAATGTAGCAGTTCACAGTGTCGTAATTTATTTTCTCTCTCTCAACATCTTTGAACCTTAAATAAAGTTTTACTCACATTTATAAGTTAGTCACTCCTTTTCCCTCAATATGTCCTGCAGTTTGGTTGGTTTGGAGGCACTGAGGCCCTTTTAAATATAACTCAACCCATCCAGATGGATCATGAAGGACTATTGGTGAGCCAGAAAATGCTCATTTCACCAGACAGACTGGGTTTCCCTGCCATGAATCCTGCATCAACTTAGCCGTTATTTTAGGAAGCACTAATAGACGCAACTTTTGTTACTCTAGTCTTCAAGGTCTCCTGCTTGTTCCTTGTGAAGTCACCTGATCCTTTCTCTTATGCCTGTGGTTTCTTCAAGTCCTGCCATTACTCTGACTGTTGAGACCCTAAATAACTTCCCCTATTTTTGACTTGACTTTTATATGGTTTTTTTGCAAGCCTTCACTCATACACTGGTATACTTTTTCAGAGTCTGGAAGAGCCTGATCCCCTGTTAGATCCCTTGCTTTGACCCTAGGAGATCATGGCTATTTAGCAGTTCAGAAGAAAGCAGATTAGAGAATGAAATGCATGAGTGGTGATAGAAAATCAATACATATGAGAGGGGACAGAGTCATTCACTGAGTCAGATGCTGGCTCAGATTCCAAAGAATAATGAGGAAATAGAAATGCAACTTTTATCTGAAGTCTCAAGATGAGAAACATAAGAATAATACAGAGACACTTACCAGATACCATTGCTTTGTAAAAAGAGGGTCATTCATGTTGATGTCTATCTCATTGATGTTTCTATACCCTCGCTTTTTTCGGTTGAATCCTTCTTGTTGCAAGACCATCTTTACCTGGAATGACAATACTGGCATATTACTTGAATATCAATCTGAACATCCCTCTTCTGGAATTTATTTCCATGAATTCAAATTCCATTTGCATATAAGGAGGTTTTTTGTCTCAGCTGAAGCCGATTCATCTTATATATACTCACACTTTATGATGATTTTCCAAGAGCATTTACTTCTGCTGGCTTTGAACAAACAGGCTTAGTGATGGCTCAAAGTGAGTTTCCTTAAGGGAATTGGCTCTGGGTTTTGAACACATAATGCAATATATAGATGATGTATTATAGAATTGTACACTTGAAACCTATGTAGCTTTGTTGACCATTGTCACCCCAATAAATTTTAATTTAAAAAAACAAGAATTAGGTAGAGAAAAGCACTCTCAGGGAAGATAAGGTGGTGGGGTCAATTAGTGAAGTAAACAAAGCAAGGGAATACTCCTATGAAGGAAAGAGTGAGGTGGATTCAGGGAGGGAGAGTGAAAAGTGCATCGATCATGTTTCTGGAGGGCTTCCCAGCTTTTCCATTTGTTGACAGTACTGTGCTATCACATTTGGGAGTCAGCCAAAACCAAAACAAACAAACCAAAAAAACCTGCATGGAGAGCCAGTAAGTCCACAGCAAAGCTCTAGAAAGTAAGTGAGGGACCTTTGAAGAGAAATTGATGGATGATGATGCTGTCCTTGCAATGACAACACTTTATTTTTGGGCAATAAAACAGAACACAAGGCCTTGGATGGAAATGAAACTTAGGGTTTGAATTAGTTCAAAAAACAGCTAGGCTCTGTCCCAACCAGGAAACTTTCTTTCATTTGGGCAATAACTAATTTATCATCCAATAGCTGTGGCTAGTCTCTGAACATCTACAAACTCAAGGACTTTGAAATTGTATAAGAGAGTGTGTGCTGGATACTTACTACTTTTTAATTTATATTTTGCTACCCAACATTTATTTACCTTTTCCCCAAATCTCCCCAGTATATGTGGGGAATTACCTTGAATCTGCTGGTTTCTGTTTTGGTGGGAGTGAAATTTGAAGCACCTGCCTGCTGTAAAGAAACTGAAGGCTCTCTCCACCTCAGAGATGCCTCATGGGTATCTTTCAGGATGTGAAGCCCACAGCCCAGCCCTGGGGCTCCCCCAAAGCTAACCCTTCAGCTTCCCATAGATTGTGAGCTCCTCAAACCTTTCCAATAAACTTTCTTTTGCTCAAGTGACCTAGAATCAACTCCTGTTGACTTGCAATCAAGAACTCGAATATAGGACAAGAGGAAGACAAGATGGTCCAAGTCAAGAGTGGTGATGAACAGGGAGGAATGAAGAGACCACACATGTGGCCAAAACCCTTCCCTTCTTATTTCCCTGGAATGTGCAGGAACACTGAGGAAGAGTGGTTTCTCACTTCCTTGCTCTACATACTCATGCAGAAGGCCTAGGGCTCACTTGCCAGAAAAACTTTTAACTTTACCCAAAATGCTATCCATGTAGAAAAGAAGTGGTAGGTGTGGCATTTGCTCTGTGAATTCTTTGGAGGCATTCCAGCAAGAGACATTCGCTGTGGCGAAGTTTAAAACAAAATCCCCCAAAGAAATAGCAAAATAATTGAAAAATAAATGGGATGGATGTGTATTTGTATTGGCAAAATCTGGGCACAACAAATATCTATCAAATGGAGATAAATTATGACTCAAATATATGTGTGTGCATGTGTGTGTATGTGGTATACTATATATATATGTATATATATATATATATATATATATATCTTCTGAGAAGCAGGTGCCAAGATAAAATTAGGCATGCAAGGATTTTATTGGGAGAGAAAATGCAACAAACTATGATGCAAGTCTGGCTTCATAAGGGAGAGAGTGAACAAGGTTGGGCAAAAAAGTCTTCGGCTGCCCCCTAGTCTAAAGAAGATTTAGCAAAGCTGTTGGGCATCCCAAGTCAGCTGTCAGAAGAAACCTGTGTCAACCAGGCATGAGTGTTCCTGCTGTGCCCAGTCACTGGGTGGAGCAGCCGCAGCCAGCGTGACCTGTTGCCAACAAAGTGATAGATTTCAGAGTGCAACAGCTGGGGTCCTTGGTCAATTACTCTCCTTGGAGTCAGAGGTCTGTGCAGCACATTCTCACAACTGCCACAGAATATATACATTCATTTATATGTGTGTCTGTGCATGTATATATTCGCTAATGTAGAACATTTAAAATGTTGAAGTGAATTGAGTTCTCAACCCGGAAAGAGCCATGACACATCCCTCTTAAAACCTTCTTTACAGTGGAAGCAAGTACAGTAGTCTCCCCTTATCCACAGGGAATATGTTCCAAGGCTCCCCAGTGGATGCCTGAAACGAAGGGTAGTGCCGAACCGTATATATACTTTTTTTTTCTATACACATATATCTTTTCACTTAAAGGAAGCACTTCAAGGCTTCTCTTTGGCATATCCGAATTGCCAGCAGCACCTGCGCTTTGAGGCTTTTATTAAGTAAAGTAAGGGTTACTTGAACACAAGTACTGCAATACCCACCAATGGTCAATCTGGTAACAAAGATGGCTACTAAGTGACTAACAGATGAGGAGCATCTACATCGTGGATACACTGGACAAAGGTATGATTCACATCCCAGGTGGGTTGGAGTGGGATGGTGCAAGATTTTAATAATCTACTCAGAATGACATGCAATTTAAAACTTATGAATTGTTTATTTTTGGAATTTTCCATTTAATATTTTTACACTGAGATTGACTGCCAGTAACTGAAACCACAGAAAGCAAAACCATGGATAAGGGCGGACACTGTATTCAAATAGGAGTGCCATTTTAACTTAGACAGATGAATTTGGCCATTGAATCTTCTCATTTTGATCTCACAGCAAAGCCTTTTTCTGCTCTGTTTACTAATGAGAGGCTGTGACTGGACTGCACTGAGGGATTCCCGTTATACTGGATTCATTGTCAGGAATGATTCCATTGAGATGGCACCTTCCCTTTGCTGGGGTCTTAGCTAAGCAAGAGCATTTACCATGTGGAAGTTTGAAAACTTTCATCTGTATGTCGTTTCCCAGTAGCATAAAAACAGGAAGACCCATCAGATTTCATCTTTTTAAATAACAGTGTAACAACAGCTATTACAATATCACTCCAAACTCAATTAGACCAAATGCATTCTAATGACAAGACTGTTTAAATTCATTTCCATATAATTAAATTTTAATTTCATAAATTAGGTTTTCATGGAGACCAGAGACACTATGGAATGCGGCACTCTCTGGACATCACCCCTCCTCGCCAAAGCATGACTTAGGTGTCTGCAACTTTGCATCCCGTCTTATTAAAAATTAGGACTCCTAGGACTGCAGAGGGCTTTCTGGGCATTAGTTTATCTTCATGTCCTCAACAGAGATCACAGTTACAATTCCAAGAGAGATAAATATATTTAAGACATATATATTTTACTTATTACACACAAATAACTGGAGTTCCATTCCCCCCTCCCTACCCCCACCTCCAATTATACCATGTAATACCATTAGTTGCTTTTATTTTTCTGGCTTCTTTTCTGATCTGAATTTGCTTTCAAACCTAATTCCTACATAATAGAATCATACTACAGATAAAATTATGCATTCTTTCTTCACTAAGTATCCAACCATAGGAATTTTAATATACTGCTATATAGCTCTCATATTTTAATTTTTAATGGCTACCTAAATATTCCATAGAGTGATGTACCATTAGCATAATTTATCCAACAATTTCCCTCTTATTGGTCATTTGGATTGTTTTCTATCATAAGTAAAATTGCAATGAGCAAGAGAGATGAGGTTATAAACTATTTTTAAAGACCTCTGGGGAAGATTTCAGTGTTGTAATTCTATTTGTGATAAAGCCCTAAATGTCAGAGAAGTATTTCCTAGCATCTATATTTCTTTCTCACATTATAACTAAAAGGCAAATTTTTTTCTTTTCCTCTTCCTGTGGATTATAACCTTTCACACATAATGCCTTTCATTACCACTTAGATGTGGTACCAGTGACATGCATATAATAATTATAGCATTTTGCCTTCTCAAAAATATATACAGGTAGCTTTGGTATTTTATTTTAGAATACTTCCCTAAGTTTGTCCATTGATCTAAACATTTATGCAAATAAAAAAATAAGGAAGCAGGAGTTTTTACTACTGGGTATTATTTTATTAAAAATGAACAGATGAATATTCTACAATTCTTGTTCAACTTTTACACCTGGATTTGACCCATGTGCACAGCACAATTTTACCTGAGCATCTCCCCTCATGCCCTTCCCCTTTCAGTCCCTGCCCTCAATTAAGAATTTTTCAATCAACAAGTGTTTCTCTGCTTCCACAGTGCATATACTAGGATAAATCAGATTCTATCACTGCACATTAGTGTACTATTTTACAAGTTACATTAACAAGGTCATTTCACTACATTTAATCTTCTCAACAAACCTGTGGCATGGTATGGTTACAGTTGAGGAAATGGAGGTTTAGAAGCCATTATCCAACAGTTGAAAACATGGTGGAGTCACCGAGGCTGACCACCTCTAAATGCTATCAGCTTTCTACTAAGCCGTATTGTCTCTCCCTAAGGCATGGAACACAGACAAGCTTCCAGTATCTGGGACAACTTAACTGTACATGTGACTCTCTAAGGATCAGGGCCAGTTCACTTCCCTGCTGGGTTGATAATTAAACAGCTGCTAATTAGCACTGACTATGCTGAGCAGGGGAGGGGCCGAGGAGAAAGGGGAGCAGTAGGGAAACTTATCTCACAGGGCGTTCGGAACATCTTGACTTGAAGTGAGCACAAGAAAAGAAACATAAAATAAAACTAAGATGTTGCTGAAAATACTGAAGATTATGAATCCATGATGCCATTGATTGTCACATTATTTTCTCTACCACTAAGAATTATTTTATTTACTGTTGTGGGTTGATGTGTGTCCCTCTAAAAGATATATTGAAGTCCTAACCTA